TACTCCCCTTTAATAATCATTATTGATGATAAAATTATTTAAATTGGAATAACCTTTGATTATTATGTAGGTACCTAAAAACAGTCACGAGTTTAATTTATGAAGAAAATTCAAATGAATAGATGTCAACTTAATAATCAACAAGAAAAAGGTTTAGGAAAATAAAAAAAAGATTACTAGATGTAGAATGAATTATTCTTTCAATGTACATTCTATGATTTTTTTCCAATCGACTTTTTGATAGAAAATACCCAAAACTCCAACAAACATTAAATTAAATTCTTCGTAGATTTCTTAGACATTTAGATTTATATCAAACTTTAACCCCCAAATATACCCTTTAAGGTAATGCGAAATAACAGCGTCCAAGATATTGAGTGAAAATTTTTCTTTATTTTATTGTAGCTTCTTCCTTTTATGTCGGTTTTCTTCTTCACCCCTTACCCATCCATATCTAGAGATAACATAAGTTGTTGAGCGATGTCTGGCCCACACCAAGTGGGGCTAGGGATAAAGAATTGAAATGGTACATCTAACTCACTCATATCTTCTCTCTCCCCCCTCACTTCCTCACTTCGCCTTCTCTCCCCCTCACTTCCTCACTTCGTTAATTTTACATATGTATACGGCCCGTCAAAAATGTGTAAATTTCTTTTCATTTTCATTTCAACCTTTGGAAGTAAAGTCTGATGATCCAGAGCCCTTTAAAAGGGCTGTGGTGAAATAATTTATTACATGGAACCTTAAAGTGGTCTGCTTTTATTCAAACAAATATATATATATATATATATATATATATATATATATATATATATATATATATATATATATCCTATACGGAACCGTCATTTTACGCTGACGTGCCTTACCGATCAAGCACAAAAAGCGTTCAGTAGACATAGTCAATTTTACTGCTTATAAACTTCAATCTTCCATGAATCTCGTACATTCATAACTGCTCTGGCGTATCAAATGTAAACAAATGACGTCATATATTAAGAAATGGACAAAGTCCGATAATTTATTTTATTAAAGACATTTTTATGTTTAATGTTCTTTTTTTATAGATAAAAATGTCTTTAATAAATAAATTGTCGGACTTTGTCCATTTCTTAATATATGGATGCAGGTTCGAATCCTGTCAAAGAACGAATATTTTCTATGAAAATTTCTCGGACATTCAAGCCGGTAAATGTTATTTAATACTGTTTATTATAAACAGAACATTTACTTAAATACTTGTATCTATAAAAAAGAACATTAAACATAAAAATGTCTTTATTAAATAAATTGTCGAACTTTGTCCATTTCTTAATATATATATATATATATATATAGCCCAGTGAGCCAGAACCTACCTACCAAGGTTTCACCTAACAGATGTTCAGGCTAATTTACTCTGTCGTTTTTTTTTATCTTTTGACTAGGCATTGCAGTGCTGATTGATTATTTTCGACCAATACGGATGTCTTCAGTCTTTTCTTTTTTTTTTTACTGATTTTTTTCCCTTATATCGGTTTGTTCAAATATATTTTTTATTTACAAATTGTATTATCTGATTTTTTTCACACCGTACGAGCATAGGTATATAAATAATATACATACATATATACATGCACACACATATATATATATATATATATATATATATATATATATGTGTGTGTGTGTGTGTGTGTGTGTGTGCTTCTGTGTGTGTGTGTGCCTCTGTGTGTGTGCATGTCTGTATCTGTGTCCGTATGTGTCTCTGTGGGTGTATTTGTGTGTGCGTGATAAAAGTTATCTAGAGAATTTACTTAACATCAGGAAGGGACTATTGAAGATTCTATGGCACATAATGAGAAGAGAAGGCAAGGAAAATCTGATACTTACAGGACAGCTTAAAAGCAAAAGGGACCAGAGAAAAACAAAACAAAAAAAACAACGCATAGCCTAATTAGCGAGCTTGATGGCGGAACAGGGTGTAAGAGAAATAACAGAAAGACAAAATGCATTAAGTGTGACAAGAAATAGAGAGAGCCATGATCGCTAACTTCCTGAAGGGATAAGGCATATAAGAAGAATACACCCATTCTTTCAGGAAGAGACAGCACTCCTCACAAACTGGCGAAAGCCATAAAGAAGTGTATATATATATATATATATATATATAAAATAAATATATATATATATATATATATATATATATATATATATATATATATATATATATATAAACAAATATATGGATATAGATCCGACAGTATGAAGAAAATACACATGGAAAAAAACAAACAAAAATCCTCATATACAACTATGCTGTTTTAATGTTAATATGTCAACGTCGGACGTTTCGGTCTAATAAACCATCTTCAGGACATATTCAATGTTATAATTTATGAATATGTCCCTGAAATGGTTTAATGAACCGAAACCAATCCATGATAAAACAACATGTAAAACAGCTTCATATACCTATATATATATATATATATATATATATATATATATATATATATAGATAGATAGATAGATAGATACAGAGATAGATACAAATTTAGATATAATTACTACTGGCTCTAGAAGCCCATAATTCTGCATCAACTTTGCTCACCAGTAGAAGAGGAGGGACCTCACACTAACTAAAGTGTTTACTTATAGTGCTCTCTCTCTCTCTCTCTCTCTCTCTCTCTCTCTCTCTCTCTCTCTCTCTCTCTCTCTCTCTCTCTCTCTCTCTCTCTCTCTCTCTCTCTCTCTCTCTCTCTCTCTCTCTCTCTCTCTCTCTCTCTCTCTCTCTCTCTCTCTCTCTCTCTCTCTCTCTCTCTCTCTCTCTCTCTCTCTCTCTCTCTCTCTCTCTCTCTCTCTCTCTCTCTCTCTCTCTCTCTCTCTCTCTCTCTCTCTCTCTCTCTCTCTCTCTCTCTCTCTCTCTCTCTCTCTCTCTCTCTCTCTCTCTCTCTCTCTCTCTCTCTCTCTCTCTCTCTCTCTCTCTCTCTCTCTCTCTCTCTCTCTCTCTCTCTCTCTCTCTCTCTCTCTCTCTCTCTCTCTCTCTCTCTCTCTCTCTCTCTCTCTCTCTCTCTCTCTCTCTCTCTCTCTCTCTCTCTCTCTCTCTCTCTCTCTCTCTCTCTCTCTCTCTCTCTCTCTCTCTCTCTCTCTCTCTCTCTCTCTCTCTCTCTCTCTCTCTCTCTCTCTCTCTCTCTCTCTCTCTCTCTCTCTCTCTCTCTCTCTCTCTCTCTCTCTCTCTCTCTCTCTCTCTCTCTCTCTCTCTCTCTCTCTCTCTCTCTCTCTCTCTCTCTCTCTCTCTCTCTCTCTCTCTCTCTCTCTCTCTCTCTCTCTCTCTCTCTCTCTCTCTCTCTCTCTCTCTCTCTCTCTCTCTCTCTCTCTCTCTCTCTCTCTCTCTCTCTCTCTCTCTCTCTCTCTCTCTCTCTCTCTCTCTCTCTCTCTCTCTCTCTCTCTCTCTCTCTCTCTCTCTCTCTCTCTCTCTCTCTCTCTCTCTCTCTCTCTCTCTCTCTCTCTCTCTCTCTCTCTCTCTCTCTCTCTCTCTCTCTCTCTCTCTCTCTCTCTCTCTCTCTCTCTCTCTCTCTCTCTCTCTCTCTCTCTCTCTCTCTCTCTCTCTCTCTCTCTCTCTCTCTCTCTCTCTCTCTCTCTCTCTCTCTCTCTCTCTCTCTCTCTCTCTCTCTCTCTCTCTCTCTCTCTCTCTCTCTCTCTCTCTCTCTCTCTCTCTCTCTCTCTCTCTCTCTCTCTCTCTCTCTCTCTCTCTCTCTCTCTCTCTCTCTCTCTCTCTCTCTCTCTCTCTCTCTCTCTCTCTCTCTCTCTCTCTCTCTCTCTCTCTCTCTCTCTCTCTCTCTCTCTCTCTCTCTCTCTCTCTCTCTCTCTCTCTCTCTCTCTCTCTCTCTCTCTCTCTCTCTCTCTCTCTCTCTCTCTCTCTCTCTCTCTCTCTCTCTCTCTCTCTCTCTCTCTCTCTCTCTCTCTCTCTCTCTCTCTCTCTCTCTCTCTCTCTCTCTCTCTCTCTCTCTCTCTCTCTCTCTGTGCATGTTTGTGTCTCTGTATTTATGGTGGTGGGGCTAAGTGTGCTTAGTTTGTCTTAAACCCGAAAAGCTTCAACATTCCGCCTCACTAGGCAACTTACAAAGATATTTATTTTCGACCTTTTTGAAAGGAGAAGAAATATTCCCTTGGAAAATCAGCGTTGGAACTTCTTTCTTTTTTTTTTTTCTATCCTCGAATCGAACACTGGATTCTGATATTGTTAAAAAAAAAAAAAAAATAAATAAATGCACATAACTGTTTTTGTCACGTGGCCAGCCAAACCACGTCACGTGGCCAGCCAAAACCTCATTTTTTTTTCTTTATTCCGTGAATTTTTTTTTATCTCTTCGACATAGTTGAAACCTTTTCTTTTTGTTTATAACTTCTTTTTTTTTCTTTTTTTTTTTTTTTTGCATGTCAAAACCTTTCCTGCTTTTCCTAATTGTAACGTGTATTTTTTTCACTGTATTTTTTCGGTTTAATTTTTAAATTCAACTATTTCCTTCTCTCTCACTCTCTTTCTCTCTCTTACTCACGAAACATATTTTTTTTCCTTGTTCTTTGCAATATCCTGAAGACACTGAGAATTTAAACCAATCGCCGTTCACGGAAATAATGTTACAATGGGAATCGCCTCGCTCACTCTCAAGGGAGGTGTCATGGCCGACGCAGTGAATGCGAAATTATGTTACTCGAGTTAAACTAATCCCAGCTTTCATGCTCGCGTTTATCGCCAGGGGACCAAAGTCATCTGCTGTTTAGATATTTTTCTTCTGACATTTTTTTCAAAATTATTATTATTAATACCATCTGCACATTATTTTTTTTGTAATCTTTTGTTTTGAATTATAGAAAAAAATAACAGCCATATTTGAAACATTTCGAACTACCCGTAAATGTTCTAGTGTATTTTTTTTATTTATGTCATAGACAAATTCTGTGGAAGCTGGAAATATTTTATTGTGCAAAATTGTGTGCATCTGATAGATAGATAATTATATAGATATGAACAGGCTGAGATAGATATGAACAGTCAGAGAGATAGATATGAACATACAGACACACACACAGATAGATAGATAGATAGATAGATAGATATGATCAGACAGAGAGATAGATAAGAACAGACTGAGATAGATATGAACAGACTGAGATAGATAGATAGATAGATAGATAGATAAGAACAGAGACAGACAGATAAGACATACAGATAAGAGCAGATTGATATAGATAGATAAACGGCC